GTTGAAGGTTGAGTGGCAATTGTCAAATTCTTTTTCAACCTTGATTTGAACACAAAGTATTATTATTATTTATTTCTCTAGGGATCTGTGCTGGAGGGACGGACTGTAGCAGAGGCTAGCCCGTCCCTTGATCCACCCCTGGTACGGGTATATATATAGATGTTACAATCCTATCAACTTGTCCCTAATGTACCTTTTTATATTTTGATCAAGTAATGCTATATATCACCGGTTTATACAGTATTGGACCTCCTCATTCATTATTCAGAGTACCCCACCACCGCTTAAACTGCGAGATGGCAGTACTCATTTTGACCGGGGAGCAAATTAAATGTGAGAATAATTGGAGCTTTTATATTGTGGGTCATAAATAATATAATAAAGCTGGATGCTTTTTTAATTAGCTAATTTATATATTAGTCAAAAAATTGGAAGATTGAACGTTGAAAAGAAATCCAACAAATTTGGACCAATTAAGATATCTTAGTACAATAATCAAGAAGATATATGAGCACGTGTCTGAAAAAGAGGATACATTATAATGGCCCCATTTTTGGCATAATGATTTTTGTTTTTCCATTCAGATTTTTCTTCATGCATGCAAAAATTTTGTGGGTAATTTGTTTCCTAAAGATAATGGATTTATGTGTGTATTGATGTAGACATACACCTACTTACAAATTTTCTTGGCATGTTATGATTCAAAGTATCTTATCTAAAATACACTAAAGCACTATTTGATTGCACTTCAATTCCATGGAAGATGAAAATTAAATTTTATTTTTCACATTTTTACATGTTTGATTGCTCAAAATTATCATGGAATTAGTTTTCCATCGTTCTCCCACATACTCACATTTTCTTGATTTTTGAGGAAAAGCATTTTCCCACCACTTTGGTGGCAAAAGCTTTTCTAGACAGCTTTTTTTTTTTAACTTTTTCAATTTTTTTGGCAATTGAAACAAATTTTATCACCAATTGTAACAAATTATATCAATTTAATGGACAATTTTCATGAAAACAAAGCCAAACGAATACTAAAAAATCCAAAATTTCAATATTTTTCAGGTGAAAAATTATATAAATTAGACACAATTAATTGATAATTCTCAGTAAAACAAATTCTAGACAATTCAATTCCCTGAAATTTATTTTCTTTCCACCCATATTTCATTCTTGCAATCAAACGGGGCCTAAAATCAGTGCACGAAGGTCTTTTACCCAACCCAACCCAACCCATCCCAAAAACAAAAACTAAGGTCGAAAACCAAAACAAGTCTCTTAATTACAACAATCACAACGATGAGAATAACAAACCTGTTCATTTGTTCACCCCATTGAAGCTGCATTTGAGCCAGATACCTCCGTTGCTATTGCCTAAAGTCTTTCATAGCGACCCAAGTCGCATAAATTTCTTGGGTTGGTTTAGAAGCACAATTATTTCGGGTTCGATCTTTGGGAAACAAAGCTTAATAGCATGAGTGTTACGGTTGGTTTTTCATTTTTTTTTTTTCAACAATCTCAATTGTGATGTTCTCGAAGTTAACTTTGAAGAATGAATAAAAATATAATAACACAAAGTTAACTAGATTACAGAGAAAAGAACAACTATTTTATCCTTCTTTGGGGGTGATTTGTAAAATCAAGATTATTATTCCATCCGACCCAACATGTTTGGGAAGAAATCAAATTAAAATTTAAGTGATTACGAGCTATGGGTCCCTGCAAATTGTGAATAATAATAAGTATGTAGTAATTATGAATTCTACGAAATGTGTAGATAAAAAGTATGACCCCAAAGTGATTAAATATTACTTTCCAAACATGATGTACTTCTTGTATGAAGTTGAATACCGATATGAAAACCCAATAGTTGTAGAGTTATTTATGAATATACAATACGAACCACAAAATTTTAGAGATATAAAAGATAGGTAACGAAGAATAAATTTTCGGACAGACAAAAATCTAAGAAAGCATTGTTGCATCCCCTTTTTGGTCTAAAGCAACAAAAATCAAGCAAAGATGAGGATTAAAGAATACAATGACATTTTGACGGCACACAGACAAAAAGGTTTAGTAGCCCACATTTGGTACATTACACTGCTGGACAAAATTAAGGAAAAGAAACACGTGACAAAATTTGTTAGTTATCATGTCCGGTCCAAGAATGCCATCAATGTCAATATCTTTTACCCAATGTTCCATGAAAGAAAATACACTTACAAAACTTTTTTCTTGGTCACAGGAGTCGAACTTAAAAAGTACCCTAATGTAGAATTCACCACAGAGAATCTTGAGCCAGCATAACCCTTAGAAGATGAACAAATGCTATGTTTGGTTGCAAGGAACTCAAGTCTTATAATTAAGCTTCCGCTTGCAAACTATAATTAATTTATGAATGTCAAACTTCATTTCTAACGCACATTCCAATTAACCCACAAGTAGTATTCACTTATCTACCATTCATTTATATCAATTTATAAACTAAATCGTTTATAAATTCTTCCCAAATGGAAGCAGAGGGTAAAATTCATGAACAATCAATCCAATTTAAATCAGTCCGTTTCTAATCAAAGTCTCCAGCATCAATTCCATGTTCCTGAATGCTACTGAATAAAATTATTTAATATACGAATATATAGAAACCCACAAGTGTGTGTGTGAGCTGTGAATGGAAACTTGGAAATGCCGACGTAATAAAAGACGAGCTTTTATCTAATCGTGGTACCCGGAAATCAACAAGCATGGCAAACAATACAGGTGAACGATCCCATCAACAAACCTCTCCTCCTCTACACTGGGGGAAGAGGTTGTCATCAGATAATCGTTTAGATTTAGATTTACACTAGCAAATACCCTTATGCCACGTTTTTATACTACCAGTCATGTATAAAGGAATCAAAACTACATAGCAAACGAGCACTTAAAGATTGAAAAAAAAATTCTTTCTTACCAAAGTGAAGAAGTATGACAGACCCTTGAATTTTGCATCTAATAGATATACACCAATAATGAAAGTTAGTTGGAAACATTTAAATCAAATCTGTTAAATGATCTGCTTATCAGTCAACCTCTCAATGAAGTCAAGGTTCATTGATTCGGGGGCGGAGCCAGAAATTACGTTAAGCTGGGCTGAAATTTAATTTTTTTTCAATGAACTTATACCATAAAAGATGCTCTAAATGACACGAGATCACAATCACAACACAAAGCAAAATCCCGAAATCAACCTCTATATTGATCTTTAAACTTCCTTTCGCCACCAAATCGACAAGTCCGGCTCTAGTCGACACACTCACCACCCCATGCTATGCGAAGCTTAACATCAAGAACCCCTCTTCACAAACAGCACTCCTTCCTCACTGAATCTCCACCACAAACGACCAACCAGGTTCCTCCACTTTCACTGTAGGCTTCCACCTCGACCCTGACGCCCTCCGCTACCTTTCAAGCTAGCATATTACCCTCAAAATATAAATCTTCCCCAGCCGCATTGGACGCATTTGTGGAGTCGGTTCGGAGGTAGGGACAAAGGCGATAGTAAGTGGCGGTGGAGATAGGATTGGTTATCCCCATTTTTGGGTAGGTGGGGGTGGATTGGGGTGGGGAAGAAATAGATACAAAGGGATATTTTATTTTTTATATTAAAATTGTTAAGTTACTATTTTACCCTTTTACAATTTGGACAAAATCAACTTCTTTGGTCAACCAACGGTCAAATGGATGGACATTCAATTGGACTCCAGATGCCAATTTCAAAAATGTTAGGAACCTCCGCTACACAAATTGCAGGTTAAAGTAAAGTTTGCAAAAATTGAAAAGGTTAAGGACCACTCCACAATTTTCCCTTCAATATATGTGGCAATGAAACTCGAGACCTATCTCTCGGATCACTTAAAAAGAGAGTCCACTTTAGGTCCCCTTGCAATTAAAATTTAAAAATCAATCCAATTCAATTGATAGCTTCCCCTTAAATGTGTCCATATATTCGTATCCACTGAAACCTATATGTCTACCAAACTAAAAGAAGTCATTACAATTGTAGTTTTTCATTATCCTAAACTTGCTTCTTAAAATTAAATTAAAATAATTCGTTATGTTCACAAGAAAATAAAGAATATCAGACCGTTATTATCTTTATGAAATGACAGCTAAAATGATTTATTTAATACATTTTGATTAGAAAAGGTTAAGGGCCTTAATTTTCCTTCTGGGCTGGGGGCAGGGCTGGGCTATAGCCCATCCCAGCCCCCCTCACCCTCCGCCCTTACATTGATTAATACAGATTCAGATTCTCAACTACATTTCTTGAACATCATAGTTTATAAACATACCTCGAATATTTGTCATCTTGTTTCAGCAAATGGTACTGCAGCATTGCTCACGGGAAGGTTGGTTACTGTACATGAGGAAACAATGGTTGACTTATCATGAAGAAGAAATATGAAATAACAGAGTTGTGTAACAACATAGAGAAGTTAGTACCTTCTAATTTGGTTCTCAACCAATCCTGCCCACATATCAAAGCTTCTCTAGTATCAGGACTGAGTGAACTCCTATGATGGTCAAGCATTCTGCCACTACTGCTGAATGCTACCTCGGATCCAAGAGTAGACACCGGAATCCCGAGAACATCGCGCGCCATCATAGATAAGGTAGGATACCTAGGTGTGTGAACTTTCCACCAATTTAATATGCTGAAATCATAATTACGTGGAAAGACAGGTTCCTCCAAATACTTGTCCAAATCTGGAGTCATGCTATGATTTTGTGAAGTTTCGTATAGGAACTTGTCGAAGCCTTTTAGTTTATCTCTGGTAACATTGCTAGTACCAGGTAAGCTGCCCCCAGACTGAGATGAATCTTGATCGAGGGAAGCTAAGCCCACAGCATACTCATTAAAAAGTTCCCTAATACCATCAGAAACTTCTTTGATGCGATCTGGAGATTCACTGCCATAAATCTGTGGATAATAATACTCGATCAACTTCATTTTGAATCGAGGATCCAAGATTGCTGCTATAGCTAAAGTCAAACTGCATTTGCTCCAATACTTGTCAAACTTGATCTTTATCTTCGAGGCTATAGAATTAAGAAAGTCGTCGGGAACCTTAAGCCATTCAATTAATTTAATATGCATATCGCACATCTCTGGAAAAAATAAGTTCGCAGTAAAATATTTGTTTCCTACGAAAACATTGGTGAACTCAACAAAAAGTTTCATGTAACCAGCAACAGAACTTGCCCATTCCCACTCTGTATCAGATAAAGCCGTTGTGTAGGTAACATCATTCTCCTGCAGAAGAGAAAAGGCACCCTGGTATTCTAAAGCTGCTTCAAGCATCATATATGTCGAACTCCATTGCATCAGAGAGTCGAGAGCTAAATTCCTCTCACTATTGATCCCAACTCGTAAAGCAAATTCATTGAACTTTCCTTGGATTTCCTGCGAACTTTTAACATGCCTTATACTTTCTCGAATTTTATGGTTCACGTCGTGAAATGCTTCCATGACCTCTTGCACTATAGATATCAAAAGATGTGTCACACAATGCATATCAAATAACTCACCATTCTTCAAAAGTGGCCTGTTTTGAGATAGCCAATCCTTAATCTTGAAAACCATAACATCATAAGCAGAACAATCATCAAATGTCATAGAAAACAACTTGCAGTCAATAGCCCAATCAGTCAAACTTTTAATAACGACCTCTGAAAGTATGTCATCATTATAAGATGGATCTAATGTGACAAAGTTAAGCATCTTTTTCTGCAGCCTCCAGTCCATATCAATATAGTTAGCTATCAGGCATATATACTCAGAATTTTCAGGTGAACGCCACACCTCAACTGAAAGGTTGATTTTACAGTGCAAAAGATGTATTGCCTCGTATACCTTCTGTTTTTCCTTCCCATAGATGGTCATGCAGTCAAGTTCAGTGGCAGTATTATTATTCACTTCAAACAAAGGCTGAAGATTCTTCACAAATATTTTGAATCCAACATGTTCCACCATGTCCAGGGGATAACCATGCAACATAATCATTCGGGCAAGATCCAACCGACTACGCTGTCGATCAAATTTAGCACTTCCTAAATTGATGGCTTGATTTGTTTCTTCTTTCTTGTGCTCCTGATCAAACTTAAAAGGTATGGAGCTAATGATTTCATCTTTTATTTTCCCTTCGTCATAGCTGACAGTTGTAAGGGCACTTTGACCAAGATTACTTTCTTTTCTCTTCTTCTTTGTGGAAAGTATTTGAGAAACATCATAATTTGATTTCTTCAGACACCGTATCAAATGGTTCCTTAGATGGGTTGTACCGCTATTACTAGATCCACTTAGTTTCTTTTTACAATGTATGCAAACAGCATAGCATGTATCTGCCTTTCTAACTCTTTCAAAGTGATTCCAAACTACAGAAGTCAACCTCTTTGGTTTCTTGGCAGGGATTTCATCCGAGATTTCCATGACTAGGACTTAACATTAGCACATTTTCTGCATCAAGAAACGAAGAAGTTCAGAAGTTAATAAAGGGAACCTTTAAAACAAAGTGAGAATACATAAGCAAATCCCAATAATTAACTTGCAAAAACCATTTAATAGAAAAAGCCAGGAAAGAGTTACGACTTGAATTATTGTTATTATCGCACTGATGGAAGTTCATATTTTGCATGTGGTGGTGCACAGCCATTTATGAAACCTTCATAAATAATGAAATGCGAAACAGATCAAACAATCTTGGATAGGATCCACAACAAACTCGAAAAGCTGACTTAAGGAACCATGAAGTACCAAGTATTTCATTTCGGAGGTTAAGCCCTCGCCTCTGCCACCCTCTCCTTTCTCGCTCCCTATGCTATGCACCCAAGGACTCCCTACACCCCACCCACCCCCTAAGCCATATATGGTATATATGTCCTCCTGTGGCCATGCAACATGCAATAAAAAATCAAATAAAAGTTCAAACAGAGCAATTTGAACATGAATTGGAAAAAATCTGTTTGGAAAATATACATTGCAACATTCACCACTACTATCATATCACATATTTATTTTTTCTATTCCTTACACTAAGAGAGCTACTCTACAGCAATGAATCAAACAATACAACTAAAAATCAAGAACATAAAAAGGCTAAATTTAATGAAAGGACTAAATAGCTGGTTACTCATTTGATCAATTCACCTCTGTAACACAAACATAGTATTTTTCAACCAAAAAAATCAACCATTTTTAATTACCCAGAAATTCCACTAAAACATTAAAAAAATAATCATAGAATGTAATAAAGAAACTCATAAATAAAAAATAACGAAAGATAGACTTTTTTGTATTAGGCAAAAAGAAGTTAGATTAAATCAAGCAAATTGAGAAGAATCTAGGGTAAAATGATAGAAATTCGAGCCTGAGAGTGACGATTCTGTTACGGGTTGACCGTTGTGGAGAGAGTCCGATCAGAAGATCCGATAAGGAGTCGCGGGGTCAGGATTCGGAGACATGGATACGGAACCGGATCTAAGTTGGGTGGTATACACGATGATGGATCGGGTTTACAGTAGTTTTGGTTTTTCCCTGTTTATCTGTACTATAAGAAACTAGAGTTGGGTCGGGTTGGGTTAAAAGTTTGATGGGTTAGGTTTGGATTTGGGTTTGGAGCTCGGATCTGAGATTCTGCCGGCTATGAATATGGGTTTGAAAATGGGGAATTAGCTCTAAAGGCCGGGTCCCAAAAATCTAATAAAATAGCAAAATGTCTTTTATACCCTTTAATCCCTATTCCTCCTCCTTTTTATTATTATTATTATTTTTTTTTAATGTAAAATAGTAAGTTTGTTCAGTAAATTATGTTGATTAATGTTCAATTTGTTGTAAAATGAAAATAAATTAGGATTTAGTGTGAATGACACTTATATCCCTGCAGCCCTAGATATAATTACCATATGTACTCATATTCCTTCCCTATAAATATAAGTCTTTGGTTCTCATTATAATACACAACAAGTCTATTGACTTCTCTTTTTCTCTTCTCTTTTTCTCTCTTTTCATAACACAATTTGCTATTTTGATTAATTGTTGGGTTTGCTATTGAGTGGGGTTTGTTACGTTGGGTAAAATAAAAATAAAAATGATAACAACACACTTGCTGAAAACTGCATTCTTGTAGTTTTATTGATAATAATATCACGTATTAAAATCAAATTTTCTCAACTACAATTGTCACTTGAAGACTTGAACCATTTAAGATTGTGCAGCAATATTACAAGTCAATTTGTAGCAATACTTGAACCACTTGGCAATGGAGTATGATGTGAATCTATCCATCGAGCCGAATTAAAGTTATTCACTCAAAATTGTTATTCACAATCAATAATGTTGTTTTAAAACGTTAAAAAGTGCAAAATGAGAGTAAAACTGTCATAACGACACCCTTTACGTACAAGTACAAGAATAATAGTGTTTACATCGTTATGACAGAAGTTGGACAAGTTGTGAAATGAAATTAAGGGGAATATCATCTTTCACATGAACATGTATTTTAGAAAATTACACGATAAGTTTTAGGGAACAATACATAGTTCCTATTTTTAAAGTTTACATTTCATAAATAACAAACTTCTTAAAATATTTCAAAAATCAGGTGCTAAATAAATTTATTAAATATTAAATTATAATATATTAAATATTAAATTATAATATAATATATATTAATTATTTATACCACCCCATGACACCTCACCCACCCCATCTCCTCACTACACCACC